CCCCTTTGGTGGGACGAGGATTGCCAGACGGTTAGTTGATGACAGAAGGAAAGCCATGGAGACTTTCAAAGAAAATTCCAATATGACTAATTTAGATAATTACAGGAGCCTATGTGCGCCTACGACCAAAATGCTTCAAAAAATTAAAAGGCAGAAGTGGAAGGAATTGTGTAAGTCCTTCGATAGCAAGACCCCGACCACTAAACTGTGGAGTCTTGTCAAATCCTTCAAAAGACGGAATCTTGGGGATCATGACGATGGTTTCACCTCAGCTGCACCTTCCGCCGTAATTGAACAGGCCATTTCTAAATTCTGCCCGGATGCATATGCCTGCACGACAATCGACTACCCATGAAAGATATGGTCTCCATGGACGCATTAAATCCTAATATTCTTCATAGTCTAGATAACGAGATTACGATTAAAGAATTCAACCAAGCGATGTGCTCTTCCAAAATTAAATCGGCTCCTGGCCTGGATCAAATAGACTACGGTCTTATTAACTCACTTCCTCAGAAATATAAAGATAGTCTATTTCAGTTGTTTAACCTAATCATTTTCAAAACAGGCGTTTTTCCGGCTGACTGGAAAACGTCGCTTGTAATTTTCATTCCTAAAAATGGAGGTGGTGTTAGACCTATATCTTTGTTATCCTGTTTTCTCAAGATACTGGAAAAGGTTATTTATTTCAGAATTCGGTGGGCCCTAGAATCTCGTCATATCATACCGGATTTTCAATTCAATTCAGGCCGGCAAAATCCTGTGCAGACAATTTGTGCGCATTTTCAAATTACGTACACGCCGGATTCATGCAATCTATGCACACCGTAGCCGTCTTCTTGGACATACAGGGCGCATTCGACAACGTCTGTCCTGACATATTATTACAGGATCTGTCGGACATTGGCATTCCAGCTCGCTGTCGCAAATTTGTGGAAAATCTAATCTTTAAAAGGAAGATCTTTTTTGTCAAGGAGGGCACTTTAATTGGTCCCTTCTTCTCATTTAAAGGGACTCCGCAAGGTTCTACCCTTAGTCCGATTCTTTTTAATTTATATCTCAGGAAAATCTTTGAGTGCATCCCGCAGGGCGTGCGCATTCTACAATATGCGGACGACATTGTGCTTTTTGCTACGGAGGGAAATATTGAGAAGGCTTTTGAATGTCTGCAAACAGCTTTAGACAGTGTCTGGCAGTTTTTACAAAATAGAGGCCTTAAGCTCTCTCCTAGTAAATCCAAATGGATGATATTTTCCAAGACCAGAGCTGATCCCGCCCCTCCCAATGCTGCGCTCTTTATTAACAAACAACCTATTCCCAGAGTTTTATCGGTTCGTTTCTTGGGCGTCGTCTTGGACCCCACGCTGAGGGGAGAGGCTCACACGAAATATTTGGTGCGCAAGGGCAAAGCTGTCTCGGACGTGCTTGCGTCACTTGCAGGCACCTCATGGGGAGCGCACCCCGACACCCTTATCAGTATATACCGCGCGGTTTTACGAGGCGCCATTGAGTACGACAGCTTGATATTTCGCTTTGTGGGCAACAGGGCGATGTTCTTAAAACTAGAGAGACAATAATTCAGAGCCTTGAGGATTGCCTTGGGGTATAGAGTTTCCATTCCAATCAACATTATTCTGGCGGAAGCCAAGGAAGTACCTCTAAAGATAAGGTTTACATATCTCATTGATAAATATCTCTACAAGGCATACTCTAATAAATTCAGCATCGTTGCCCGCAGCCTGCGAAGCATTGACAACTCCGCCCACTCGGACGTGATCAGAGAAAAAGCTCGGAAGTCCCTTCCTGTATACGACAGATATTGCGCCACAAAGCACGTGTTAGATAGAGTTCACCGCTACACGTTTCTCCCGGCCTACGATGACATTTACCAACTTTCCATTTACAAGAAGGACATTGACTTCTCGCTAACAGACATTCAAAGGGACACTCCTCCGCATATCGCGCGCGCCAAGTTTCAAGAACATTTCGAGGAATTATCGATCGAGGCTACATCTTTCTATACGGATGGGTCCAAATCGGATTACTCCCCAGCCGGCGCTAGCATTTACTCTCCCAGCATCAACTTCATAATTACACACAAGCTTCCTTCATCTGTCTCTATTTTCACTGCTGAAGCATGGGCTATTCTGCATGCAATCACTGCTATTATTGATTTAAACATTATTGAAGCCAATGTCTTCACAGACTCCAGAAGTGTGCTAATGGCTCTCGCCTCATCGGATCACAAGCAAGGAAACTACCTAATACATCAAATCAAGAAAAAACTCATTGCTGCTGAAAGAGAAGGGAGGAAAATCGTTCTCTGCTTGGTTCCGGCACACAAGGGGATCCCCTGCAACGAGAAAGCGGACCGCCTTGCGAAGTGGGCCACGTCAAGGGGCGCTAAACCCACGTTCCAAGTCCCGTTCACCGATTTTCAAGTGGAGGCAAAACTGCATCGAGTAAACGCTTACAAACACTATCTGGAAGAAACCTCCTTTGTCAAAGGCACGCAATATTCTGACAAGCTTTATTTAAGCGACTCTCAAAAGACATGGTTCTTCAATAAAGGTTTAAACAGGGAAGAAATTGTCTGTATATCTCGCATCCGGAGCAACCATTACAATCTAAATTACAGTCTATTCAGGAAAAACATTGTTGATTCTCCCGAGTGCCCATGTGGTGAGTCCAGGCAAGACATCAATCACG